TACATTTAATTAGTGCATACTCTCTTCTCTCACAGTATCTAAAAGAATAACATGAAAAACACGTCATACTGAGAAATTTTTACAACCTGCAGGAAGAGATACGAAACAAATAAGCTGTCAAATGCATGTTACGTCAAATTGAGCAACCAATTGAGCAGTGTGATTTTAATTAACGGACGGCTCCACAATTAATTTTACAAGATGCGGATTTTATTTACTGTGCTTTTGTGCCTTACTTTGGCTGCCTGCATAAATGCAGATTATCAGAACAATTGTACCATAGGTAAACGTGAAGAAGATGATTTCATGTTTATTGATAAAACTGTTTCCAAGGTAAAATGATTTATAAGTTTGATCACAATTCATTTATATTCATGTGATAATTAAAATGAATGTGAAACATTTCATCTTAGAACTTTGCATAATTTGAAATTTAATTATCGAATTTAAGATATTTTTTACTATATATAATATATTGTAACTTACGTATATTATGATCAAATTTTGTAGATATTAACTTTAATGCGAGAAATCTTATTTAAATGTATCTTAAATCTGCTATTTAAATTTAATTTAGCTCTACATTGCAATTTGTCATCAATTTACTTAAAACAAAGAAGTAAGACAAAAACGTAAACCATACAATGCATTATATTATAATAACTTTATTAATTTATACATAAACTTTATTGATAATAGATTTCTATATATTTTAAGATATTTTTTAGATAACCAAATAATATTAATTTCTATCACGCATTCTTATAATTCCATTAACATTAATATCCTTTTTATAAATTTCAGCCTGCCATTCCTTTGGTAGCCTCCAGACACGTAATCAGCTTAAAGGCCCCTAAACGTACAATTCTCACCGATATTCAAATCATAATTCTAAGAAACAAACAAGCTAAATGTATAGTGAAACACCACAGAGAAACAAGTGTGCTAATAATACTTGAGGGAAAACCGGGAGAAGGGTTGGCTTATAATGTGAAGGGCTATGCAAAATATATTTTAACAACACTTGCTCAAACTAGCACATCTAAAGGTAGCGAAGAAAGCAATAGCGAAAACGACAACACACCCAATGCCGGGGATGGAAATAACAACTCAGGCGAAGGTGGCGATGAAGGAAAGAGCGCACCTGATGCCGGGAATGGAGGTAACAATTCAGGCGAAGGTGGCGATGGAAAAAACAGCGTACCCGATGTCGGGAATGGAGATAATAACTTAGGCGAAGGTGGCGATGAAGGAAACAGCGCACCAAATGCCGGGGTTGGAGATAACAACTAAGCCGAAGGTGACGATGGAGGAAAGAGTTCTCAATGCCGACAATGGAAATAATAATTCAGTAGAACGTGGCGATGCGCAATAAAGGAAATAGCACACCAGATACATGAGGATCGAAACAACAACTCAGCCGAAGATAGGCAAAATAGTATAATTTTAAAATAAATACAAAACATGTTTATATTGTTTATCAGATAAAAGTCATTTTAGTTACATATTGATATAAAATTTAAAAAAATTATGTAAAAAATTCTTAGTTATCAAATTTAAACTATTTTGCTGTGATTTATACATACATATGTCTAACATAAAAATGCTAGACATGTTTGTCAAAGTTTCGAAAGTGTATGTTTAAAATACTTATATTATTGTCGAAAAATTTAATATAAGTGTCTTATTAAAAAGCATTATTTTAAAGTATAAATAAAATTAATTAAAAATATACTGCAAAATGGCTGGCATTCTAAGTACAAAAGGATAAACTACGATAAAAATAAAATATTATGAAATTTCAGTAAATAAAACCTAAAACTGCTGATGCAAACTTGTTGTTTCTTTGTTATTGCAAATTATAAAATAAACAA